CATAAAGTACTTAAGATAAATAAGTAAAAGTAAAAAATACCCGCTTATAGAAAATAACTTTGGAAAAAAATAATTTCACTAATAAGAAAAGTACTTACTGTAAGTACGTAAAAGTCATAAAACTGCTCACAATAATTGGGAAAGTAAAAGTACTTAAACAACTCTTCTTATGATGTGTTCTGGTCATATATCTAAATTTGTAACACATATTTGTTAAATTTTAAAGTAAGGAAGTAAAAGTGTGGGTTTTATGCTTTGAATGTAACAAAATAAAAGTAAAAGTCACAATTGAAAAAACATTAAAATTACAAATCCTCAAAAGTACTGTAACAAAGTAAATGTRCTTTGACACACCACTACTGTTCTCAGTGTTCATTCTTCTTCTTCATGGGCTAGGTTTTTAACACCAAACATTTGTCTTGAACACCTTAATGGACAAGATCAACAAGCTAAGGGATACTAAGAGGAAATTAAGAAAAAGTGAGCAACATGCCAAACATTGGATTTATCAAGATAAAATAGATCACATGCTCAAAGTGTGAGCCTTCATTAGTGTACAAGATGTGTTTATAAAAACAATAAATACTAATCTGAAAATCAACAAGCGGTTATTTTAAATATACTGATGTCTGGCCTTGAGACCAAACTAAAAGGGCTAATCTGTTGAATACAGATTTTAAAAAAGTGTCATTTGAACATTATTCAGTGCTTAAAATATACATATTTTTCCATTTCAGTAAAGCTACTACCCTTGAGCAAGGCTTTTCTTCGGACTGAACGTGCATACTATAACTACAATGTGCAGTTGTCTTGCTTCAGGTGTTCTRCAGCACTCTACTGACTCTCTGGTTTACACATTTAACAGTTTAGATATTTTTTCTTTTTGAGGCAGCTGATGCTAAAGAAGCCGGTCTTTGTTTTCTTGATGTGTTTAGATTTACACAAACTACTGTCTTATTTTTGGCTTTTCCTTTTGAATTCTGTCCAAGGTTGTTGTGTTTTGTGCCTCGGGGCTGCTGTGCGACAACGAAGGCTCAGTGGAGGCTTTAAAACCATCCAAACTAATATCAAAGTCTCGTCTCAGATTGCAACACACACTGAGAGATGTCCTTGCTCACCGACACACGTTGGCAAACTGCGTTAATTGCCACACAAGATTCACCCTTGACTGAGCGTTTGTTTCTGCTCACAGCGATACCACATCCTGCTCATCCTCACAGACGGCGTGGTGACAGATATGGCTGACACGCGTGAAGCCATTGTTCGCGCCTCCTACCAGCCCCTCTCCATCATCATCGTCGGTGTGGGTAATGCCGACTTCACAGACATGCAGATTCTGGACGGAGATGACGGAGTCCTGCGGTCACCAAAGGGTGAACCGGTCCTCAGGGACATTGTGCAATTTGTGCCCTTCCGAGACTTCAAAACGGTCAGCATTTTTCACCATCTGTCACTTGTTGACTATCATTTCTTTTTCAACCCTCCATAACATCTATTCCTGCAGCCTTCATTGTCATTGAATAGATAAACAGGTAGCTGTGTGTATGTTTTGCCTGTGCTCCGGATTCAAGAAGATTTATTTAAACAATAATRAAAGACAGATGTTGCCACATGCAGTTGGCAACATCAGCTGCACAATGAATGTAGTCTGTTCTGAATCACAGATCTTACATAACGCTATGTTGATGCACATTTTACTCTTTAGCCACTCCATTCTTTAGATTAAACAATATTTTAGTATTGTTCAGTGTTGTATAAAGTACCACAAAGTGATACTTGAGTAAAAGTACAAGTATCTTACCAAAAAATTACTTTGGTAAAAGTTAAAGTCTCCATATTACTTGAGTAAAAGTGTTAAAGTATCAGATATTTTT